TATATTTTTTTTTCGATGAAATGATTATGTATATGACTTTTTAAGCGATTTTAAAGCTTATTTTCATCTATATTTACCAAAACTCTGATAAGTAGACTCTATATATATATATATATATATATATATATATATATATATATATACATATATATAATACGTAAAATAACATGACACAAAATCATATATGCATTACGATTACGATATTGTTAGATTTAAACAAGGAGATACAAGGATACAAGGGCATGAGAGAACTATCAAGAACAGCCGTAAAAAACCAAATTTAGTATCAAACTATTTCAAAATGAGAAAATATACCATTTTAGTCTGTCGACTTTTTAACATTACACTACGTGCTGTATGTTATTTATGCATTTATTTGATTATATAATACGTGGTTAAAAAGCAGCACATACGTCTCCGAGACAAGTATTCTAAAAGGTTGATGCAATTACATGTGTGGAGATGTTTGAGAATAATGTGAGAATAATGTGGAGGGAGAATTAAATTTCTAGAAACTTGTAATGATTATAAATACAGTACGTAATATTATCATTATTAATATTATTAATAAATTATTATTATTTTTTACGTATTAAAAATATATTTATTATTATACGTACGTATATTGTCTTCAAAAATACATATCAAATATGTATGTATGTATGTGAATATTATGATTGTCACAGAATTTGACAATTACTCTTGGAAGAAATCAATGTTATAAAACTTGTTTATTGAAAGTTATAACTTGATTTCTTTCTAAAGAATGTTCCTGATATCCGATAATAAGCTAGACTATATAGTGATTAACGTGATTAACATGATAACGGCAATATATATATATATATATTTATATATTTATATGTGTGTGTTATATATAGTAATAAATTAATAATGCTACGTACTACGTATACATATATATATATGTCAATGCGCCTCAGATTAACATTTGTGTCAGGGCGTCAGCTGCATAATGATTATGACCAGAATTAACGTTAAAAGATCAGCCTAAACTACGGCATAATCCTGATCCTAACTCTAAGCCTAACTCAGGCTGAAGCAACATCTAACGCAAGTGTTAATCCATAACAATAATTTTGTAAACAATAATTTTGTAGGCAACTAATTTGTAGGCAACTAATCCATAATCCAGTTAATCTACCGCTACGTGATTTTTGTAGGCGACTAATCCATAATCCAGGTAATCTACCGCTACGTGGTTTTTGTAGGCATCAGATCGGGTATAAATCCCGATTGCTGATTATCCCGAAAAATTCCATGCAGATTAGTCGAAGCAGGAATTTACCAAGGTCTGTATAAACCCTAAAAAGTTTACATTTCTATAAAATTCTTTAAAATTTGGACGCGTAACATTCCGAAAAAACATGAATGAGGACTAAATTATTCTAATTTAAAATACCATTCATCACAGTTTCACAGTTTTCACAGTTTTCACAGAGTTGTCAAGATTTAAATGGAATGAATAGTTATTTACTACTTAAATCTTAAAATATGAATATTTTATTTTTGATCGTGCATTAAGCGCATGAATACAAATGCCTCAATTATTTTCATGAATATAAGAAGACTTTAATTATTTCAGCGTCATTTTGACAATTTCCCAAACTGAACAAGAATGGATAGATTCAGAATTTTAGCCCTGGAATTTGGCGGTTATGGTATTAATTTAATTTAGTTGCTTACTTTTTCGCGGGTGGCGTTTCTTTTACTTGTAAACAAAAATTTATTACAAATATTTTAAGTGTCACAAAAATGGTATATATGCAGGTATGTCTGGGCGTCAGTTCTGTCCTAACTTATCATATGATTCAAATTAACTTATCATATGATTCAAATTAACTTATCATATGATTCAAATTAAATGATTGTTTACCGCCATAAAATGTAATTTTCTTAGATAAAAAATTGGTTTTTTTTTAAAAAAAAAAAAGAAACCACCAAAAGCTATTACAATGATATTACCATGATATTACATGATATTATTAATTTTACTACATAATTTGGATAATTTAACTGTTTATAGTATAAATTGATGCAAATACTGTATATACTGTATATACTGTATATATGTGTGTATATACACACTGTATATATGTATATATACTGTATGGGTATACAAAAAAAATTTTTTTTTTATCTTTTTTTTAAATTTTTTTAATATAATAATTTCTCGAAAGACGTTGTCCCTTTGTTCATTATTATAAAAATTAGTTTAACCGATTTCAGTTTCATAATTTTATATTAAATGAAATTCTATCTTTGGATTAATTAGCGTTATAGCAGTGTTTATTTAAAAAAGTAAAAATAGAATTCATTTATTTATTATTTATTTATTTATTTATTTATTCTATTTTTGTTTATTACCATAATTCTCAAAAAAATACCTTTCAAAGTATATCACCCCTTTTTATTATTACTAATCAAACCTTTTCAAACAATAAAAATACGTATGTTACATGACGAATTGCAGATTTTGAGGTAGTTACATTAGCAATATCTTTTTATCGTTAATAATATAATATCGATAAGTATTATATTGATCAACAATTTCCATAATTGTTGTGGCGTTTGACAATGGTGAATTGATTAATTATTAGCATTACATTAGTATTCATTAGTATTAGCATTACCGTACGTAATTAAGATAAAGATCTAGATAATGTGTAATATTAATCATACAGGCCATTATGATGATAATAAGATATAATTATTAAAAATAACAGTGATAATAATGATGATAATAAATACGTACGTACGTTTTCGCAAATCTTTTATTCATATAATTGTCATTGCGTATATGATTAATTTATTTCATTTAATTGTTATTACAGTATATGATTTATTCATTTAATTTTTATTATATGATTTAATCATTTAATTATTATGATTTTTTTTCATTTAATTATTATGATTTATTCATTAATTTTTTTTTTTATTAATTATTAATGTTAAAAAAAATTTTCGCTTATTTTTAAATTCATATATTACAAGAAATCTTATGAAATTTGGAAAGGAGAAGAAATCTATTTTTTATGTATGTACAAACAGGAAACGAAATCCATACTTATTTAGGGTTTATCTATATATTTTTGAATCAATATTTCTATTAAAAAAAACTCTATGTTGACTTTCTTTTTTCTCAGAAAAAATTAGGTCAATAAAAAAAATCTATTCTGTGCTTGTATTATGCGTAATTCTTGAAAAGGAAGAAAAAAAAAGAATATTATTATTAAAAAAAACTATAGGAAGGCGTCTATAAACTATAAACAGAAAATACTTGGTATCGTGTACCAAGTATTATAAGAATGATTTGTTTTGTATTGAATATCGAATTATGTGTAAAATAAAGTTATGGTGGTGGATTGGAGATGGAAGAAACAAAAAAATTATAACGATTAATGCGAAAAAACGTAATAATAATAAGAATAAAATTTGATCGTTAAAGTTAAAAATAAATTCATGACCATCGAAAGGTCAACTTGAGTCGAATATACTGCTTATGCTTTTTCATCATTAGTCCAATCAAAATTAATTTCTAATTCAACTCGATGTTGATCCAAAAAGTTTTCAACTTCATTTCTATCGACCCAAAGGTCATATTTCAATAATCCAAGAAAACTACGTTCCATGGTATTAATATCTTTAACTGTATAAAGACCATCTGTGATGTCTGCGATGGTCTTATTCTGAAGCGATTGATCACTCAAGTATTTGCTTGCAACTAAAATCGCTGATAAAAAAATCTTGTAAGGCGTATCAAAATCACCACGCGCGGTAGATGGTAATGATCTTTTCAATCGATTTACGTAGATTAAACCAACTACCATGGTTATCTTTGAAACTTTCGATCTTGTGGTGATATCTCTGATAAAATGATAAAGGTTTGGTAATGAGGCGTTTTTCAAAGATCGTTGTGAACATTGAAGAACGGAATCACATGAGCCCGCAGTAAAAGCTGTTTACAAGTATATAGGTATATAGGTAGTGATATGATTAGTTTTTGTATTTGTCGATCGCATGTATCACAAATTTTCAATGTTTATCATTTATGAAACAAAGTCAAACAAGAAATCCAATTTCAATTGGTCCAGTCGAAATTTTGAATTACATTTTTTCAAGAAATCCGGAAAATACTTACACATTAGAGCATCGCCTCCAAAGACACTGTCACCATTGCGGATTACGTTGCAAGGCATGCTTGATTCTATCGGCGAATTGTGGCTTGGCTCCAGATTTTTCGTTAGAAACAAGAAATATATTTTTTTTTTAAAAAAAAAAAAAAGAGAATCGTTTTTTTTATATTATATAAAGTAGAAGAGTTTGTGCATATAATTTTGGTTCAAGATGTGAACGAGAATTCAAATATGCACAAAAAGGAATATCGAAAGCACTCAAAACTCACTGGATTAAACCAGAGAAAGAAACGTTAAAATTAGAAATGAAAAAAATTATAGCCGATTGATTCATACAAAAATTACCACAATTCGAGTTTTGTGGTAAAAGAAAAGGATGAGTTTTAGAAAAAAAAAGGAATGATAAAAACGATCCAAATAATATATCAAATGATAATAGTTAAAGATGTTTTTTTTTTTTTTTTTTTCTTAAGAGACAAGAATGACAGACTATGTTTGAATGAGGGACCACTCAAAATAGTTCTTTTATTTTTTCTGCCAACTGTCGTGACAAAGGCGATGCGATATAGCAACGATGCCTTCTTTGCAAAGGTCAGGATGTCATTGTCGAAACCGGGTGTTTAAATAGTTTTTCAAGCGGACAATTGCATACAATTATAAAATTTTAATATGAGGCTTTTTTTCCTTTTTTCCTTTTTTTTTTTTTTTTTTTTTTTTTTGTCTACTGAAAAAAAAGATCCCGGTAAAATTTGTGAAGGTGCAGAAAGTATGCGCACAAAATGAGCTGCAAAGGGCAAATAATACGCGAAAATATATATAGAATGCGAGTTCTAGTTAAAGAAGGGTAACAAAGGCGTTTCGTTAAGGAAAAGAAGATGGTTATGAAGTGTAAGTCAATTTTGCTATGATTTTATGCAAAAGCTCACGTCAAACATTCATTGGAGTACAATATATTTATAGACTAAGATTTACTTTTTATTTATCATACGTAGTAAAAATATCAATATAATTTTGGATCAGTATTATAATGGCATATAACCTGCGGGTCATTAATAATAGTGATGGCATATAATTTATGGTTATTATAAAATACATCTGATAAAAGAAACTTTCTGATAACTGAAAAAAAAAAAAGATTATACCCAATAAAAGAAATTAGTATCCGCAATTTCCGTAATTTCCGATTGGAAAAAGGCGTATACTAACTCCGTGTAAACTGCTTGCATAGAGATTAATGCATTAAATTGAAAAAACTTGCAAGATAAATAATTGATATGAATAAGATAAGAAAAAAAAAAAAAATTCGTAGAAATGCGGTTATCATGGTGTTACTTTGGTTTTATAGGTGGATGTAGATCGAACATTATCGTATGAAAAAAAGATTTAGATACGTACGTACGTAAGTACATGTTTCAGATAATTTCATGAGCTGATTCCGAGAGAGTTACAAAATTTGTCGAGAATAGATAAGCTGGCAGTGCCGAAACAGATAAAGAAAATTTGATTTTTTTTGCCTACTTTGCCATGTAGTGAAGTTTGTGTGATAATAAATTTTGATTGGTGTAAATGTATGCGCCAAAATAACATCATTAAGTATCCTGCGTCATGTTTATGCTTGTATATTCTAAAATTTGTAAATTTTGTAAGCTTTGTAAAATTTGTAAAATTTGTAAAATTGTAAACTTTGTAAATTTGTAAAATTGGAAAATTGGAAATATTGGAAAATTTCGAATAATCGCATATGCATGAAGAAATCTTGAATCGCTATTAAAATCCGCGCATAAAGGCACATTAATACATTAATTGTTATATTGTTATATTGTTATCAATCGTTAAATTATATAAAGCGGTTCGCTGGAATATAATTCCTTTAAAAAATCCGAATTGGCGAAGCTATAATCGGATTTTTACAGTATTATCGTTGTTATAATTATCGTTATTTTTGATATTAATTTGGACGAAACGTCCCGGTACTGATTACATAAACATTATAAATATGCTAACGAAATTTAATGTATCCTTAATGCCCTTTGTTCTCATTTCTCATTTGGATGATCGGTCAGTTAAATGCTTAATTTAATCAGGCTTTAGGTTTTCTAGCAACGCTAAGCCGAAGCTCCCCATGAAAAGTTAATGTCACTTAAAAATAAGGGTATTATATCCACGCGAGTTTTTTAATTTTCCTTTTTATCCAGAACAGGTTGTCAAACAGGTTGTTACATTTCCCGGTTTGATTTATTTAACTTTTACAAAAAATTCTAATAATGCTGTTTTCACAATGAATGCGCTTTTAAATGTCAAATATGATAATTATTATGTCTTTGTTTTCTCACATGTGATTTCTCTTCCGTCAAACATTAGCTTTTAAAGGATACGTATTCAAGTTTTATGTTAGTTTTACCTTTTAATGTTTTCATTCAATTTTGTTTTTCTTTTTGTTCGACTTTTTTGGTTCTATACATGCATCGAGTTGTTCCCAGGAGAAATCGATATTCACCCGCCTCTTACCATAAAATATTTATCGTTTTCACTATCCATCGTATAGGATACATCTTTCATAATTTGCTATTATACACTAAATTTATTTCTTATAAAGATGAAACAATTTTCGGTTTATTTACTTACTAATACTCTTGAGCAATGTTGTGCAAATAAATTTAATGTTTATATATGATGATAAATCCGTCATGCTGTGTCAATTAACTTTCTGCCAATTGAATATTAGAATTTCCTATTGTTTTTACAAAAGTTACTATATATACATAAACTTTGGCTAAAGCTACTTTATTCTTGACTTGATTATCGTCTGTTTTTTGTGTTGTTTTTTTGTGTTGTTTTTATTTATAGATTTACTACGAATTAAATTTATTGTTTTTGGTAATATAAAGTTATTAATAATAAAATTAATACGTATTTAAAAATTCAATGTTTATAAATTTAATAAATTTGTAAATAGTTAAATATTATTGAAAGTTTAATATTAGTATTAATAGTAAATTGGTATATTTTAATATTATAGATTAAATGGGGAAATCAACAAAAAAAAGATATTCGGAAAATCAATTTTTATGTTATAAATTTTATAATAAATCATAAGAAATTGCAAAATTTAAAGAGCTACACTGCAAAATTTTATTAATACAACTACTTTTGTGTCTTAAGTGAAAAATGTCTTGATCTTATTTTAAATTAATTTATACAAAAAAATTAATTTTAATAAATTTGTCAATTTTTCTCCTTTCTGTAGCACCTAGCCCAAATTATCTCTTAAATTGTAATATAGACATGTTTGTCTGCATTTTTTTTTAGTCTCAACTTTTTTAATCAAATCTTAAATATACTTTTAAATAAAAAATATTTTTAAAAATACAGTATATTTTATCAACTTTATTATTATAAAATTATTAGAAATTTTTTAAACAATTAGAATACAAGTTGTATAATAAAAGACGCAAATCACTAACTCTTTCCGACGATCACTTGTACCAAATTTTCTCTAAAAACAATCACTCTATTCTCTAAATTT